TGATGCCCGCACCCCAGGACACCACAGCAAAGAAGATGGTGCTCGCCACAACAGACTGATAGAACATCTGCAGCATCTTGTTGCAGACATTGAAGGACCCGAGCCTCCTCAGGAAGTAAAGCCGGCTCAGGCCCTTCTTGTAGACGGCCTCTGTGTGAGTGGACCAGTCCAGTTTATTGTCCAGTGTGATACCCAGGTACTTGTATGCAGGTATCATAGTGGGTGCCCTTGATGAGGATCTTCAAGAGTCTTGAAATCACCAGTGCACCTATAGTTCAACAGTATTTAGGATTGGAGTGACCGGTCTAAAGTGAGTTCCTAACCTATCAATGAAACCTGGAACGCTGTTGAGGAATGGGCCAGAATATTTCGGCTGGGACTCATCGATGCCAACATCTGGTGGGTGAGGCATGGGTGTTGTAGATTAAGTTTTATAATAATAGATCAATAGTAACTATAATTAAAATAATTAAATCGTTTCTCAAGAAATACCTGTGAGTATCCACCGCAAATGTTTTAACACTCAATCTGTGAGGCTCAGACAAGGTAAAAATATTCCACGACCAGCAGACTGAACACCAGGCAATTTAAAGAGCATGACGATGGAATCCAGAGTAAACTGCCTCATAAATAAAAAGGACAATGACCCAAGTAACTGAAAAGATAGGTGTGTCCAACATCAAATAAAACCACATCTTTCAGTAGTATATTTTGTAAATTATATCCGAGCATTTAACAACAGTTTAAAGTTATGTCCTGTAGTTATATTGCACATTCTTGTAGCTTCAGTGATATTGCCCTCTATAGAAGCTGTACTTGTTCTTTACACTTCTGGTGCAAAACAATCACCTTTAATATAGTAATCATGAAGAACTGTGTTTGCCACAAATTCTACGAAAAAACAACATGCAGCTCAATAGTTTTATTTCTGGCACATACCCATGGTTGTTAAATGAAATCGGAAGTTGTGAAATCGAAAAAAGTTGGACTTTCCAAATTAAGTAACTGTCATACCTATTACAATTAATCCCAACGGATTTCAGCCTTGAGGCAGGTGAAGTCATATTCCCTTCAGAGCACTACACTTGGCTTGAAGTCTACAAACATAAAACAGCGTACTGACGCCCCTGTAGAGTGGAAACAGTGCATTTGTCAATGTTTTAAATGCAGTGTAACAGATTATATAGAATATTATTTAGGCTATATTGTGTCTGTTGTACTTATAATGGGTTTTAATGTGTTTTAATGTGTATTTGTGTATTTGTGGGTGTATACAATTACCGTAAAGAAGTATCCAACTAGTTTGGACAAGGCTTTCCTGGAGAAACAGGTTTTGGCCTCCATCGTGTGTATAAGAAAGCGGACAGCAAGAGCTGTCAGATGTGTCTCTGAGGTGTTTATACCACGTAAAAGCAGCAAGGTAGGTCTACTGAGGACATCAGTCCACCTTATGATGCACTTCTCATAAAAACACAACTTGCATGTATTTTAAAAATACCTGTAAGGGAGAAACATTGTGTTTTTGTTACTTCAGAATGAGCTTATGAGTGAATTCTCTGTCTCTGTGTTTGAAAAGGTGGTTGCATTGCCAAGTTGAACTTCATGGATTTAATTGACGTGGTGTTGGGGATGATAGAGACAGTTATCTCAGTTGGTGGTGTCATTGGTAAAGCAGTTCCAACACATCGCCAGTGCAACATTGAGATTGAAAATGACTCTCTTCACTACACTCTTAGTAACCCCAGGTAAATACTATTTTTGTCTTATAGCATTTATTATCCTGTATTAAAAATCTTCACATTTAAAAGTTAAAATCCTCACATGTGTTACTATCCTTAATGTCCAGGATGTACATTAAGCGTGGATTCTGCAGGAAGCCTTTGCCTCCCACCATCAGCCAGTCCTCACCTGGGGAGGTGGAATTCACCAAGACTCCGAACACAGCATGTGGATCTGTTGGCATCGTCACGTACGACCTCCTCAACACTTCTACAAAAGACACCACTGAGCAAATAGCCGTCCTGTTCAAGGTGCCATTTGATCGCAACATAAAGTCAAACGAGTTTGCAGTGGGAGTCTTTGACATCAGCAGAAACTGTAATCATGGTCTTTTTCAGGATATGTCAAAGAATAAGGGCAAAGCTTTTGTCAGAGGCAAAGCAAAGGGCGGCGCTCTCACTCATAAAGGCCAAAATGTCACCGTCATGGCCACAATGTCAGACTGCCACACACCTGTCATTAGGGTGCAAGTGATGGATGTCTGAGAAACCCTTCTACAAAGTATTATTTCATGACTGAATTTGTTATTTTTTATATGATATTCACTATTAACCAGAGCTGATGGAATCTTTTGCATAGTAATCTGCAAAACCCATCACCATTTTCAAATCATGGAGTGAGATATTTGTTTTGTATTTATTCACTAATTTATGTTGTTTGTTGTGACATATTTTCAGGGGTAGCAGGGAAGTCTGGCATGCTTCATATATGTGGCTATCAATTGTGTTGTAGAAACTGAAAGTGATATGTTAATGTTAATGTCCTGCACATTGTGTTTGTCATTGGTATAATATGCTGGTCCATTATGAGGTTCTGTACCTGAGGCTGAATTCAATAAAATTTCAACACAATACATGCAAAGGTGTTATCTTTTTGTATGCAAACCTGCTGAGGATACATATGTGCATCATTTTATCCCAGAATCAGTTTTTTGTTTTGAATCTCTGAGCCTGGATTTGATTTCATCAGCTACTTATAAACCCAGACTGCAGAGTGCTGTATACATTGTTAGTGGCTCATTTCAAACTAGTAAGAAATGTTTCCAAACTGGGGCGGCTGGATGGTACAGTTACTACTCTCACGTCACAGCAAGAAAGATTACCGGTTTTCTTTAGGGAGTTTGTATAATCCCTCCTTGTCTGCATGGGTTTTCTCCTGGTAATGTGGCTTCCTTCCCACAGTCCAAACACACGCAGATTGGGGTTAGGTTAACTCTGAATTAATTGTAAGTGTTAATATGAGTATTAGCTGGTGACCTGTTCAGGGTGTATCCTGCATTTCGCCCAAAGACAGCTGGGACTGGCATCAGCTCCCCCATGACCCTAAAAGAGGATAAGCAGTAAAAGTAATGGATGGGTGTTTCCAAAATATTGTGGAATCCATGCCACAAAAATTGAGACTTTTTACTTCTACTTCCTTTTCCATTTATTAAGCCTTTGTTTGACAACTGAAGACATGTCAACATCAACTGGTGGTAGTGATTAATTTGTGCGGTAGAACATACAAGGGATATTCTCCATCTCGTCCTATGTTCTAAAATGGGACATTGTTTAGTTTAAAAAGCCATAGAGGTAATGACAAGCCAGTAGCCAGTTACCTTAAGCCTCAGCGTATCCTCAAGTTCGGCCTGTATTGTTGAATACAAGGCCAAAACACTTGATGATGCTACAGTGGACACCTGAGGTTATGCCCCTAACACCTATTAACATCTACTGGTAGTTGGTAACTTAAATTGTGTAGAAGACAAAGTGAAGGAGAGATGAGAAATGGGGTGAGTGAAAAGATGCACAGTAAATAGTCTGGCCGGCCAAAAGTTGAACAAGTGACCTGCTGCTCAAGGTATTTGCATCCCAATTTGTATATGACCTAACCATCTGGCTATCAGGTTACCCTGATTATCTATAGTGCAAAGTCAAGTTTGCATTCATCCTACCTGGTTTATCTGCAGTGAAGATTTTATAGTCAGTGTTTTTTATAAAATGAAACTTAATTAGAAAAGCCACACACTTGATATATGTATGTAATATAACTTGATATAAAGCATTTCAGCAACAAAACAAATGCTATGCTTTTACTTTGAAGAGAAAGGCCGAACAGGAAGTAATTATGTGAATGTCCCTCTTTCTCTTTTTCTCTCTCATTTCAGATATCTTTAACCCTAACAACTATAAATATTATTAATATTATTAACAAACATATCTCAGTAATCAATTATTATATGAATTGTGCCTGTTATCAATAATAATTCATATTCTTTACACTGTTACTGTTTACATTTGAACTAGCCAGATCTGATACCTGATGGTGCTCAAGTGTCCCTGGTCTCTCTCTCCCCCTCCTCCCCAGCCCCACTATCACTCTCTCTTCTCTCCCCTCTTTTCCACCCATCTCCTCTCTCCTTCCCCCTTTTTCTTTGCTCACCCCAACCAGTCGAGGCAGATGACTGCACACATTGAGTCTGGTTCTAGAGGTTTCTCCCTGTTAATGAGGGAGTTTTTCCTCCACATTCGCCAAAGTGCTGCTCATTGTGGGAGCTGTTAGGTTTCTCTATATTAATACAATTTTAAGGTCTTGACCTTCTATGTAAAGAGCCTTGAGATAATGTATATTATGATTTGGCGCTACACAAATAAAACTGAATTGAATGATCTTGCCTTGACAATGTGGTGAAATAAAAATAATCAAATTATCAAAATTATCTGGTAGAGATTTGACCCAGTTCCTGTAGTTTATCTGAGGTCGAGAAAAAGACACATTTAACTCGAGCACAGTCTGAGGGCACAGGGCCTTACCGACTGTTTGGACAATATTTATTATACTGAAAGTAGCATTTCCAAATCACTCCAAATTAGGTACTGTACTCCCCTGGGCCCTAAACAGTACACATGCCGATAAGATGCAGTTCTTTGGAATTATCAGGTAATTAACATTATGAAACTTGAACTTACAACTAATGTAAAAACTGCAAACTATGGGTCATTATCAATATAATCACTGTTAATAACAATCTAGCAAATCTAGCAAAATGTATGACTAAATAAGGACTTTAGTTCTTTAAATAACATTATTATGATGGATAGAAATTTTGCAACGCTTTATAAATGAAAGTAGAGCCAAGTCGAACTCAATCTACATGCAAGCGGTTGGCCACTGCTTTGAGCACAGCCCTTTGTCAGCAGCTTAATGACAGTGAGAAACCTCCTGATGAAGCAATGATATAATGATAGAGTCACTGCTGTTTCTATTGACGTGAACGTGACATGAAAAGTAATTATTTGTGTGTGGGGGAATTTCCAAGACTAATTATGAGGAAGTCTGGATTAAATGTCTGCTGTGAAAAGACTGTTATAAATTTTACATGTATCACATGTAAGTGCAAGTCTCCGAAAGGTGTGGAATATTCTTCCCTTTCTTAGCGAAACCGGGGAAATTTCCAAGTTGACTCCATGTGGTTAGGATTTAGTGTTGGATCAACAAAACCGCTTCTGGGTAGTTTCCATTTATTGTATTAACATTCCTTTGTTGCATATTTGGAGACAATACAGTATAATACTGTTGTCAAAACAAAATCAAGTCAGAATGAAGTGTTAATGTTATCAAATCAAAATTAAAAAAATTTTTTTCTGTTGATCAGGCACAATGCAAACGGGCCCTGAGAACAACTGATCCACAGCAAGATCCATTTTTTGAGAACCCTAAATTCTATGATAAGCCATGTACAGACTGACTGCAACAACACCATGAGCAGAAACCACCTATCAAGACCCAACATTTTTAGTAGAGAAGTTAGTCAATGTGACAAAATTCCTCATTGGTAATGATAAAGAAATAAAATAACAAAGAAATACTTTTATTTTCCACACTGCCATAGTTTCCTGGTGATTTTTATTTGAATGGAGGTGATATTTAACTGTTTGTTTGAGATCCTGGAGACACACAAACACATATGTACTTTCATATGGAATAAGTCAACCAAATTGACCTACTGATTTAAAAGCTTGCAGGGAAGGGTGAGAAACAAAGTCAATGAGCAACATCTATTCTCCTAAGGAGAATAATAACAAGGGTAATTCCACGAACACCCTCCTCTCCAGTCTGTTGCAGTACCACTCCTAAGCTTCGGAGCCTGGTGCCACTGCATGTGCCACTGCACCCTTGAATGGAATGCAGGAGGGTCCGTTGGTGGAGTCGGTTGGAGCAGTTGGAGAAAGTCCAAATGAAACACCCTAAGAACACCACCATTGAATCAATTTGAAATCACCAGACTGATTCATCCTCTAGTCTAGAGAAATGCAGGTTTCAAAACGTGTCAGTGATTGTTGTGGTGTCCGACCTTATGAAGCTCTGCAAGGCTGTAGTAATGCTGACATGCTTGCAGTGGTGATAACAAATTAATGTTTAGCCACTAAAATAATTACCATATTAACAATTTTAGTCCACCAGAAGACTAAAATGATGTAAAAGTAAAAGCAAATTATATTGTTTGCCACCATTTATGGCCTGATTAATTAGTAAGTAGGCTACATATTGTAGAGGTGTCAAAGTTGCTGTGTTATTAACGTTATTATATTTCAAAAGCAACAAACAGAAAATGCTTGTCTTCCTGTCTCCATGTCTCGTTACGAATACTGCACGGTTGATTTTGCGGTCGTTCAGACCGATTCTTCGGTCTTGCTCGGCTCTTCTGGAGGTGAATGTGATTGTGGAGAAGCTGCTGATAATGTTTGGACAAGTTGTTTGGACATTTCACGCTTTAAAGATGATTAGACAACTGTCAGTATTAATTGACTGATGTTATAAACATAAATATCAAAGGGCCTTGGCATAAAAGATGACTGTTGTATTTGCCTCAGGGATCTGAGATTATACATATTTTGAATATTTAATAAAAAATATTTATTCAATAGACATGACAATTATGATAGAAGCTAAAGAATTTGTTAAAATCATTTATTTTACTGGCACAATCAAAATAAAAAACACCTTTGCTTCACATGCTTCATATAACTTTGTCCTTGGGGAACCTTTCCTTGCATCAACACACCGCGAGTTCAAAATGAAAACCAAACACATGTTCTATTTATCTCGATAGCTTTATTTAAATTCACACATAACTTGTACCATCTGTCTACTTTTTATCAATTTCCAATGTCCGCATTAGCAGCCATGTTAGCTACTTGTGATCTGTCTTGTGATCACAGCAGACGCAGTCAATGATTAATAAACCAACTGGGTAAAGGCAGATTAAGGACAGGATTACTTTAATATTGAATTGGCTCTCAGATTGTGGGAAGACATGACATACCCTAACCCTCCTCTCTTTTGATTTCCTCCTCACTTCCTTTGTTTCCTTTCTCACTTCACTCAAATCACTCTCACCCTGTCACTACTAGGTCAGCTTATGTTTTTTGGTCTGTTTGTGTTTGAGTTGGGTCTTCAGGGCCAGAAGGTCAATGTAGAGGATCTGATTGAGGACAGCAGAGGCACAGAGCAATCCGCCGTGCACAGCTCCAGCCAGGCCATTACAGAACACGTCCTGCCCTGCACGCACACGCACACGCACACAGGGACACATTACGCAAGTGTGTCAGTCACTGTAGAATCTAGACCACATTAAAACTGTCCTATCAGTCAAGTCACCTGTTAGGTAGAGTCCGTCGATTGGTGTCTGTGATCGTGTCCGAGCAACCGTTTCTGGGGTGAAGCGCTCCAAGTTGTGTTCAGCGCCGTACATCTCGCCTCTTGGAGCTCCCAAATAGTGGACATTTGTTAGAGGAGTGGCAGCGTCCACCATCACCACCTGAATTTTTTATACATGCACACTTTGTATTCATAGTGGAAAGTACAATCTTCACCTTATTTACCTAATGTGCCTTATTTTTGATTTGTTATTTACTGCCTTATTGTATTTGATGTACATTTTTGTCGGCTGGTATTCCTGAAAGGACAGCATAAGAATTTCATTGCACAGGGGAACATCTTTCTCCTGTGCATTTGACAATAAAAACCTTTGAATCTTTGAATCTTGAATCAACATTAGAACATTAAAGGCATCCAACATTAGATGGTGACCATCACAAAACCGTTAGCCGATATTATCAATCAACCAATCAGATTTGATTTGTATAGTGTATGTTTTTCTGCTGCCAGAAATGCAAACATGCAGAGTTGGGTTTAAAAAAGAAACCATTTGTCCAGAAGACTGTTTTAGTTCTGTGTCAGAAATAATCTGTGGCCATGTAAACGAGAAGCAGAGAGCCTACTCTGCAGCTGGTTTGTGAGGTGAAGAAAATACAATGAGAAGTAAGACCATGGGTTTCTTTACTTGGACCGACAACAAGGTGGATCTGTTACTGAACGGGAGGGTTAGCAATGCTTGCTGTTTTGTCAGTTGTTAATTTCATCAGAGATCAATGAAGATTAAATGATCAAAAAGTGTTAACTTCAATCTTCTGTTTGTCTGAGTGAAGTAGTTAAGGTCCATACATATGCATACAAACTTTACGCAAAAGCATTGACACAATACCTTGTCTCGCAGTTGTGGAAATATGGTTAGTGCCCAGTCCAGCAGCTCTTGGGCCATGCTGTTTTTCAGATCCATGTAGTCCTGTCCCCTCTTGCCAAGTTTTGTCCCCTCCCATTCCTCGAACCACTCATAGCGAGCCATGGTCAGCAATGTCATACATGACTTGCCTGCAGACAGATTGGAAAGGAAATAAAAAAGTTCAATTCATGTATTAACCAGTAGAAATTGTTTTTGCTTTTTACTCCAAGAGGCCTTCAAATTCAGTTGGATTTATTTTCTGACAGTACAGGAACACATTCTCAAAAACAGAGCCCATTACATGTTTATACAGTTCACAGTTATTACAACCTGCTGAACCCCTTATCTTCAAGCATAATGGTTTCACTGACTGACTAGGTGAAAAATAAGTTTAAGGAATAAATAAATGTTAGCATGTACAGCTAACTGGATAGCATATAGCTGCAAACTTGTTTTATCAAGAGCAAAAATTAGGGGTTGTATGTTATGAGGTCTTGAAAAATATCTGTCCAGGACTGAAGCCTCCACTCCATGAGCCAAGAGGCTGTACAATATATCAGACCTTTGAGTAGTTGTTTACTGTTCATCATGTTGTCAAAAGATGGTTTGTTAACCCCTCAATCCTCAAAACCACTCCAGCCTCCATCCAAACCATTCAAGGCTTATTTTTAGGTTGTTATTGTTTTATTTTCATTTATATTGTAACGGTAAAGCTAACTAGCTCGACACTACAAGACATAAAGCTGCGTCTTTATTTTCATGTCTTCTTAAAAGATCATTAGCTGGGGAAGACATTTACTTTTCACCTTGTATATTTATTTTTAGCATTGTATGGGCATCATGTTCATATTTATGACCCCTTCTACTGGGTTCTTCTTTTAAAGACCTTGTAAAACAGATGCCAGACTGTTAATTGATTCACATTTGTGCTCAGTAAAAACACAAAGCTATGGAGAGAATTAAGTTGGTACAATAGCTATTAACACTGAATGTGCATCACACCCCTGCAGCACAGTTAGTTCATTGAAAGTCGTGCCTGCATGCTCTCTGTTGCTGCGGAGATCTCACAATCATCTTCCCTTAAAGATTTCTACAGATGAATCTGGAGGGGTACGTCCCTGTATGAAGGTTTGTAACTGGCAGAATTGTGTCAGAATATTGTCATTAGAGGAAGTTTAAAATTAGCGAAAGCTTTTTCATTTAATGCAAAAAAGGGAATAGGTTTGGGGCAGAATCATAACATGTTCATTGTTACAACTAACAATATCCATGAGATTCTAAGCTAGAAATGAAAAAGATGTCTTTTGTTTAAATGTGTGGGAACTTAAAGGCCCATTGGAAATTTGTAAGATGGTTAACTTGAAAAGTTGCATCACTGTAGACAGGTAGTGGGTAACCAAATAAGACAAGCACCAACAGGGGAGGGGATCATGTTCACCTATGATAAAGTGGTAGCAGAAAGACAGAAAGGAAAGGCACAAGAGAGGAATCCGAGATGACAACTATTTTATCAACTATAAGAATACATTTTAATTACCTGGCTGTCGAATGTTCGATGTGGGATCCTTAGCGGATGGGAAGGTGATGAACATCATGGGAATGTTCCCCAGTACCTGATCTTTGCTCAGGGAAGAGTATCGCTCCATTCTTCACACAGTTTTGTGTAAACAGACAGACAAACACAGTGATCCGGAAAATTCAAAATACAGTAGAACAGAGACGACATAGTACAGCCAGCTATGGAATTGAAGAGAAAGGTACAAAGATGGAGAAAGAATAAAAAGATATTTAAAAACCTACAGTGGATCCAAGTCGTTGTCTTTATACATCCAGAAGTTGGTAGAAACGATGCCCAGCTCCTCTTTGGTTCCATCCAGACCAACAAAGACCAAGAAGGAACCCATACCATGACGTAGCCTCCCCACCAGTGACTGGATCTCTACGCTCACAAACATATCACAGGAAATATGCAGTAAATAAAGACAGGAAACAAGAAAAAAGTACAATGTACTGTACATAAGTTTTACCTGGTTTGTCTTGTACTTGCTTCGGAAGAAACCTCTGGAGAGTGTTGAAGATGCCGGCATTGGAAATGACAACAGGGGCATGGACCTCAATCTGCTCTTGTCCTTTACGCACTGTCACACCTGTTACACACAAATAACATTGCTTACATAGAGCTTATTATGATTGCACGGCAGAGCAAGAATTATTAAGTCCTTCACAATAAAAAATAAATACTAAAGGTAATACATCTTAAACTATAAGTTGTAGTCTTTGGATGTGAATGTGATTATGGAGACTTCTGACTTTTTCTTGTGATAAGAAATAAGCTTTGAATCAGGGAGTGCTTCACTGTGGACTTCCATGACCAGAACGAGCTGTAGGCACTTGAATCTGTGCAGTCCCCCTTCTCACCATAGGCCTTCCCCTGCTGGTTGAGGAGGATGCTTTGCACAGGAGCCCTGACTAGCACTGCGCCCCCTGCTTGCTGAATGACAGAGATGATGTGAAAGGCAATTTCACTGGCGCCCCCTCGTGGGTAGTATGCGCCACGTTTGTAGTGGTGAAGGAGGAGAGCATTGATGAGAAAGCTGGACTCTTTTGGAGGGACACCTTGAAGAAAATGACAGAACACAGAGCATTGAAGAAGGCTTGATCTGTCTGTGATCTGTTATTACTGCATGTTTGTGTAGGTATGTGCCCAGCACCATAGAACAGGTAGGCAGACAGAGCCTGCAGGTCCTTGTTCTGTGTAAGGCGGGACATCATTTCGGAATGGTTGGTTGTTGCCAGGCTGAACACTTGAGATATTCGATGTAAAAGGCCGTTACGAACCAGGAAATTAACCAGCCAATAGGGTATCATCTTCAAGATGGCGATAAGTGGTGTCCGCTGTGAGGCTAGCTGCAACAAGAGGAAACATATGCATATTTATTTATCAGAACAGGTGTTGTAGTGCAGGGTTTTTTCAGGTATACGGCTTATACCTACTTATTTCTCAATAGTGTATACCCACTTCTAGGTATGAGGAATGAGGAGTGGGGGTTGGTTAACTAGGGTAAGAATATCAGAGTAAGCCAATCAGAGGCTGAGAAGGGTGGGTCATGCCAGGTGGTTTGCCTTCCTGGGAAAAATATTGACTGACCTTTACCTGGATAACTGAACTAATTAAAAAAAGGAAAACAGATACGACCTCTAATGACCTGAAGTTTGGAGAAATGAAGTGAACTACCCAAACACAGACTGCAATAGAAACGGCCTTGTGCCACTTTATCATTGCTAGATAGCAGCTGAGTTAGAGTTGCTGATGGTGATAGAGATGCTGCCTCTTCTAACAACTTCAAGTGAAGACGTCAAACACGTGAGCACTTTATAACAGCAGATCCTTGTAAATCATATTAATGACATACAACGTAATTATTTCTATAGTAGTATTTGTAATATTTTCAAACTGTATTATTTATCCAGTAACATTTGCAAACTGCCCCTTGACAAATAATGTTAATTTTATAATGGTGGCACACTCTGCTCTACACAGTCCGTTGCTGTTTACAAAAGAAACACTGACCCATAGTTTAATTTGGATGGACAAGGGAATGGTTGACTCAAAATGTATAATCATGTAGTTGCATAACCCTAAAGTCTGTGGGCCAGTATCATTTTTTAAATTAATTTAATTACATAATTATATTATAACTATTTAATTTTTATAATAATTATATTAAATTTATATTAAAACATTTTTCTGTGTCACACAACTTCACCTAACCTGCTGTATAATTTGTGATGAGTCTGTGGTGCATAGATTTAACAGCAATTTAATTGTAAACATATACTAACAATTAAATCGATTTGAAAGTGAAAAATATAATATGTGCATGGACCTGTATAATTAGACAGAAAAAAACAGAGACATCTTTTTCTCCAACAATACATTCCATTGCTAATGTAATTAGCTCCCTATTTCCTGTACCTTCATTAATCTCATGAATTCATCAATGGCCCCCTCCTCTCCTGGAAACTGCTTCTTTAGACTTTCGGCCATCTCAGTCTTCCCTGCATGGATATGGTACTCCCTGAAAATCAGTCAGGTAGGACATGTCCTTTCAAAGTGCAAAAAAATCTAATAAAAATAAACATTATGTTTTAACTTATGGGTAACTTTGGACAGAAACACAGTATTCATGATCAAATTTTGTCGCATATTGTATGTTACTCTTGGTAATGAATTTAAAATGCAGGGCAGAGCAAATTAATTAAACCCACAAGAGGGTAACAAAAAGCTAAAAAGACAGAATGAAAGTGCAATTCTGCAATAACTTTACTATACCTGCGCTGGTCAGCCTGACCCAGGATCAGTGTGTCAAAATGCTGTCCCAGACGTGTAAACTGCAGCTGTCCCTCTGTAATCTGATCCAGAGTGACTCTCAGCAGGCTGTTCTCATGAAGCTGGCCCAGGTAATGAATACCTGGTGGTAGCAGAGTGGAGTTAAATCAAATCAAGAGACATCTGTGTCCCAAAGTGTGTATTACAAGGAATCATTGTCAAGCTTTTTAATGAATGGAGAGGATCTTACAGTCGGAAAAGGACAACGTTTTAACAGTGTAGAAAAATAGTCCTCTATAAAGGTCATCACATGTTATCAATGTCCTTCCTGTGTCCAATATGACAGTTTGGCAAGGTTGTTTTTTGTTGTAAAGTATAAAATGTTTTTTTCTGCTCTCAAAATATAGATTAGTATTCACAACCTACTGAAATATTAGGAGACTACAGAAACATAATGATCATCTTTTTAACACATTAGAAAGGGCTGTCAAAACAAAATTCAATAGGAAAAGTGTATCTAATTTCTGCTGTAAAGACCTCAGGGGAGACAATGAGTGACTTTTCAGTCACTATGAATTATGAAACACTTTCAGTGCTGGCTAACTCTGATAGAGTCAGTGTAGCCTATTTCTTTTTTTCTTTTATCAATTAAGTAATTAGCACAAAACAGTTTAAGTAATTAGATTAATTACCTTAGATTAGAATTTGTGTTTCATTTTAATTAGAAATCATGAATTCAAGTCCAAAACATTATTTTTCTCTCCTCCATGGCATTTGCTTGGCTTCATACTAATTAGCATGCAAGATTTAAAAAATAGTACTTGCACCTGTGGAGCTCTGTATGTTAAACCAACGCTCTCTGAAAAACAAGTTCTAATTAAAAATAATCAATTTAAAAATAACAGATCACGGGGTGGAATACATATCCACAGCAACTGAATGCCTGCATTTGATGAAAGTCTGTATTTAACAAGCATAGTTTTGTGGGTATGTTACGGTTTAGACTGAAGCAGGGCTTTGTGTGACAGCATTAGTTTTGGCAATGCAAATATATAGAAGAACTCAGAGGACATGATGGCAGCAGGAGAACGTGTGTGGCCTGATGTGGTATAAGCAAATGTCATTACAATAAAAAGTTAAATGTTTTACCTTTTCTTTCTCCTTTTGCAAATTTATTAGAATGACTGAACTGTTTTACCAACTCTATGTTGTGTTCGGGACTGCTATTATTTTTGTTTAGGAAACTCAAAGCGTAATGTGAGCAACGCTTTTGGCTTAATAAAATATAAAAGATCATATATACACTTTGACATCTTACCCACATCAAACTCAAATCCCTTATTCTGGAAGGTGTGTGTGCAGCCTCCAGCCTGATCATGTTGCTCCAGAACCAAAACTTTCTTCCCAGCTTTGGCCAAGAGCGCTGCTGCTGTCAAACCTCCCACACCACTGCCGATCACCACCGCATCCAGAGCAGGGGGAACGCGGTCCACACGAAAACCTGCAAAGAGATACAGAATACATACTTTGAAAATCAGTCTGGTGGGAGATTTTGAGGCATAGACATACAGTTAAAGCTCTCAGAGGATGTCCGCAGTCAAAAAGGTCCAAAGAGTCCAGGTTAGATTGATCTTCTATCATTTGTATACCTTGCTTGTACCTTGAGTTCAACCACACAGCACTGATTGTAGAGAATCTAAATGAGTTATACTGTGCATAGTCATTTGGCCACATTGCAATGTCGGGGGGGTTACTTTTAAAGTTAATTTCACGACAGATTATAGAATACATTCCCTTAAATGTATTCATAAGAGATTTTTTTTGATTACTCAAAGTGAATATCGTATTTTTGGACTCCCTCAACATTTTCTCACATTAAAACACTGCAGCATTCTCACAACAACAGTCATTAGACTGTCAACTTGCTTGTCATTAAAAAAATCAAGAAACATTAGATTCTGATGTGAATAAAAGCTTTTTTTTTTACCTTTCTTCAGTCTGTCGTCCCTCTGTTTGCTGTCTGTGACCAAGGGTCCTGGTGGCCTCAGGCACTTCTCACTGAACAACCTGTAACGCTGTCGAGTGGTCAGGAAGAAGATGACCGCCACCAGCAGAACACAGCCCAGTATACTGAGCAGCCACCACATGGCAGAAGAGAGCTGTGGACCAACTATACAATACCCAGGTGGCTAGTGGAGAGAGCAGAGTGGGGAGGGGAGGAAGTAACACGAAGACAGGAGAAGAGCAAGCCCAGAAGAAGAGGCAGAGCGGAGGAATACTCTAACGTGTGTAGTGATGAAGAGAGGGTAGGAGAGAAGGATGAGGAGAGGGCAAGACAAGAAAAAAGAAAGCTATCCCCCGACAAGGCCGTCCCCCAACAAGAGCAGTAAACTGTAGAGAAGGAGAGGGATGAAATGAAAGGTGGAGTGAGGGAAAAGGAGGATATGGTCATGAAGGTTATAGGAAGAGCAATAATCGGACAACACATGACATTTAAAAAGTCTGACTTCACAAAGACCACCGCAAATAACACATTCTCCATGCCAAGGTCATGAGGCTGGCAGAGACACACAGAGAAGAGAGAGCTGATTGTTAATCGTTTTATCAGATCTGGTTTTTCCAATAACAATTTCTCGCTCAATATTGAACTGCCTTAGGGTGAGGTTCCACTGCATGAAAGTGAACAAAGAGGTTTTGGGAACTGAAATGTTAAAGGGACTCTCTCTTATCGTTCCCACCAGCATGGAGGGCGATCTGTTCAGGTTTGTGGCCGTGCTTTTAAACAATTTGGAGCATTTCAACTGAAAAAAACTCTTTGAAACCCTGAAAAGTTGGTTCCCAACTGGAACAACAAAATAAAGACTTCAAGAGTGAACTGTCATGACATCATTTGGCATGTCATATTCAACATGTTTGAAAGAGAATGAAGAACACCACGATGAAGAAGGCCTTTATAAAAATTGTTTGAAAAAAGAAAGCAGCGGTGTTCTGAAAAATATACCTATTTAAAACAAATCACACTCGTAGCTAATTAGTGTGACACACCATCTTGCTACTATTGTCTGGTACATTGTCTGGTTATGTCAGTCACTTGAGGACAATGTAGCTTTATGGTAACTGGGGTGCATGAACAGAATTTGTTGGCAGAGATTCATGACTGATGATTTTAAATTCACAGTCCCAGAGCCTGTGAGGACAGCTGCATGTTTCAGAGAAACAAAACAACAAATGATCATTTCTTTGTAATCAGGGTGTAATCAGGATGTCACATTTGTCAAATTACACAACAAGATGTTTTCCCCCTGTGCCTTTGCATGGAAAATGAGAATCCAGAAGTTGTTCTTCATAGTTAAAATATTTTTTGTCTATGTTTGTAAATTGTTCTTTGGTGTACACCCAGAGGGTACCAAGCTCACACAATTAGGTTGTTATATCAAACTTCTTTAATTCAGTTATTTGTGGACTTACCAGTAAAGTACGTATTGAAAACTTGCTTTTGAGCGTTTCTGACGACTGAAGGCTACCACAGGTTCTCGCCACAGATGAGTGATCAGTGCTCGGTTAACTCTTTTATTATTTTCTCACACACACACACACACATATATATACACAATTGTCCTGCTGGGTTTTTCCAGTTTGCCTCCAGCTACTCATCGTGACTGTCGTGTCCGAGCACGCTGCTGCTGGTAAAGGGGGGAGAGAGTAATTAGTAAATGCAGTACAGCTGTACACCATCAGACCTGAGCCACCTGCCCACTCTCTCCCTCCTGCCACTGACGCTAACTACCCCCCACTACCACAGGCTGAGGGGTATTCAGCTGGATTTCTTTGCCTTGTAATGATGATTAAAAGAATGTATCACTTGAGGAGGATGACTGAGCCGGTGGGTGAACTGGAGTTGTTCTGGTGTAACACTTCATCCCTCAGGAAAGGGCTTCATGAGCCATGGGAGCAGAGGGTATGCAGAATCTCCTAAGAGGAGTAGAGGGACATCCACCCCTCGAATGCCTCTGTCCACCCTGGCAAAAGGGTTCCATTTTGGCTGTAGTGGTACAGTGAGGATTTGGCTTTGTGAAATATGTCCATGTCTCAGAACATAAGTGATGATCCACTACATCTCACAGCAGCACAAAGCCTTTCCGATTGAAGAAGTCAGCAGGAGTGTGATTGGGAGCTTGGATCCAAATTTGAGTACCACTGACAACTCAGCTTGTGGGAAGTGCTGCTTGTCCAGGTCAGGAAGGCTTTTATGATGACTCTCAGCTCAGCTGCAGATGGAGTTTTGATGTAGTTGTGCCTCATGGTGTTATTAACGGCTATGATTACCTCTTGAAATAAAAATATTATCATCAAGATCAGATTAAGTTTTATTACCAGGTAGTATTCATAGGAATTTGCTGCTTAATAATAATATTAATATAACATTGAGATGAAGAGGGAACCCGCTGCTGGATGCAATTTCACAATTTATAATTATTTAATAAGTTAAAGGTTCAGTGTGTAGAATTTAGTGACATCTAGTGGTTTAGTTGCATGTTGCAGCTGAACACCCCTCACCTCACCCTCCCCTTCCAAACACTAAGGAGAACCTGTGGTAGCTTCAGTTGTCATAAAACTCAAAAGGTGTTTAGTTTGTTAAGTCTGGACGAATGTAAAAAACATGCTGACCTGCTCCTGATGTAAATATAAAGTATATACATTTTTGTATAGCCACATGCTCTCTCTCTCTCTCTCTGTTGTGAGTCTGCATCATTTTCTTCTTTTTTAATAAACTGATGGCTTTTATGGCTGGTTTCAGGGCCAGCTGCTGCCCTCTTAACATCCCTATACTCCCCACATCTGTGAATGTATATGTATTTCAACCAGATTATGCCAACTGCGAATATCATTTTCTCACTTTGAATAAAAAAATTTAAAAAGTTAAATTTCCATAGTGGTCCAGTTTGTATGGAAAACACAAACAAATCATGGTAGGATGTGATCAGCGCATCGGCCAACTATTAAATTATAAATGGATGTGTGATTGTTTTTTTTTTTAACTTTCTGGGCTGTTTGAGTTTTGCATTTTTTCAGAACACAAACTGGACTAGACCAGAAACCAGACCTTTGGTGCGAATATGGTGTGACTGTTAAATAAACCAGTTGATGTTCATCGTATGGACTGCATGGGGGGATGTAAGATACATTCTTTAAATACCGTATATTTTGCTATCATGAATTAAGACAATTGTGTGTTGTTATTTAATAAACACAAATGAGATAAATACTGATATCTTGCCAGTGCTATCTCATTAAACAGCTCAGTACATCATCATGGCAAAGAACAACAAAGTTGTCATCCTGCTGCAAGATGAAGGTTGGACACGTTTCATTTTTAACTAACTATTAAAATCTAACTAGACAATTGCAAATGAGTTGTTACTGTATTTACTTACACAGCTTAATTTCCACCCACAGACTCACCATGGATGTATGTTGCCATGGTGCATGCTCTAATTTTTGTCCACAGAAAGAAAATTACAATAATGATGATAATTTCAAATCAATAATTTATTCAGTACAGACAGAAGCATCAACATCTGATTCTACAATCATCAGTCCTACAACAAAAATACAGGCCTCAAGCCGTCTGGTTTTAGAGTTGTGTGTTTTCTGAAGGCTGCTGCTGATATTTTCTGTGGAGTCTTTCTGCTCTTCTGATTGGCCGAGATTTCAACAAATACACTTGTCAAAGTATGAGAGCAATCTGGAAAAATCGACACTTTGTTGTTGATCACTCATTCATTCCAGGCCTAAACAACTGTCAACCACATTTCACTGTGACTGACAGGACTAGGTGTTATTTGAAATGCAGACCAGTCATTTTGAAGGGGCATTCAGTTGAATAGACATTCATTCTCCATGATGTAATTTGCTTGGGATTGAAAAACATGGATGCTACTGAGTTGCATTTTGGGAAATCCAGGATTCAGGGTTTTAGTGCTTGACCTGTACAAGCTTACGAAAACATAGTGGTTTTTAATTTGTATATTGTACTTTGCCAAACATGAAAAATCAATACCACATCGAATGGAGTGCCCTTTAATTTAACATTTCTTTTAGCCTAAATTAATGTGCTTGTCATGTAGCATTGCCAAATAACTTCAGAGTTATAATTGCACTGAATGAGTGAAGATACAGACAACATGGGTTTATTGCATTTGTGAGACTTCATAGAAAAAAAAGGACACAGTGAGGTTTTGGGATGTTCTTGAGAGAAACAAATGTGTGAATATCAACACCAAACACTTCACAGATCCAAATATAGCTGCCAGACAAAAATCAGCTGAAGCCACTTTTCAAAGCATTGAGCAGAGAGCAAAATACCTGTCAGTCATTAGTCAGTACCTCTGAGTGACACACATCAATTTATCATCGTACATAAAAAGTCTTCAGTAGCTGCCACAACTAAAGATCTGAGTACAAACAAGCTGCTCAAGGAGCTCTTTGCGGTTGGCACCGTGGACAGTGTTACATGTACGGTGGCCTAAAGGGAGGAGCACCACACAACAGCAGAAAAGCAAATGAGACAACACAATTTTTTTGTGAAGCTTTCAGTTGTGCTGTTCACTCGAAGGCCACTATACATGTATTTACTGACATTCAGAAAGTTATCACAAAAGTGTCACATACTGTAAATACAAGGCAAGAATCTCATACCTACTATACCAGTATCTATTATATCAGTGTGTATCTAAGATGCAATCTACAAACTGTGTACAACTGAGAGAACAAATACAACAAAGATTTTGAATTATGCGACAAAATAAAAAGTGCAAATTAGGAACAATAGCGTGTATCTTATGAAATACAATGTCGTCATCAAATCAAGCCTCTGTACAATGGTTACTGTGTGAAAAGGTGTGTTTGTATGGCAGGGTTTTCACTATGGACTGGTTCTTCTGTAAACCATACTGGGGGTCGTGGGTGACAAAAATGTGTGCTCATTATTATTGTCTGACTGGGGACTGATGTGATATGTGTTCATGTACTATATTTTTTTTTTTTTGTAAATTGCCACATTGTGTTAGCATCAACCACCCCCCACCTACCCACACACTATTGGCTGGCAGTTCCAGCACCAATAAAATAATGGGAATACCGCTGGCAGGCAAACACCCAATGAAGTCAATTATTTCGAAGGAAATACACGAGATACTCTCAAATGTAATTCCTAATGTGTTTGGTGACAGTCTTAAGTGAAGCCCAGGTGTAGGTGCCTGTTCACTCAATAAAAGTGGTGCAACAAAATGAATCTGCATGTCTATTGGGTTTTAGAAGTTTGGTGGCGTAGTGACTTTGCTCAGGGATGTATTGGTGACCTGCTGTAGCAGGCAAGTGCATAATACGTGCATCAGTAACACATTACATAATTTGGCCATGAGGATCCGCACAGATTCTGAATCTCTTCAGTTCAGTGTGTTGCTGGTTAAAACACTTACACAGATAGGTCAATCACTAAAGTCTTAACACTAACACATAGCTGTTATATGTGACAATACAACATATCCCCCTTTAACCCCAAATATGGTTTGAGATGGGTCTTGTCCTCTCTTTATCCTGGCAGTGTGTGTGTATAATGTGTAACTACACTAAACAAAAAAAAACAAGACAAGAGAAGCAAACCTTCACTCATTACCACTGACAGAATGAGATGATGAGGTTAACTTGCTACTGTCAGCAGCTGATCACACTGAACTGTTTCAGTATAAAGCAACAGAAGTGCTGCATGTGTTTTATTGTATTCCACCTTTGTATTGATATTAGATTTGCTTATAACTGAAAAGGTCAAGTCAAGTAATCGAGTTTATAGGTTCAATGTTTTGTCTGATAAAGTAGTTTTGATCCATAGTTTGTAGATCAAGTGTGACCATCAGCATTGTCAACTCTCATGAAATGTAAACAATGACAGTCTGCTGATGATCATCATTAATGGCACAAATCATTTAAAAACATGCAAACATTTTAAAAATCTGCACGCACACACACACACACACACAAGCTCACACACTAAAAGTTGAATGACGTGTATGTGAAATCTGTAATTTCAGGGCTTCATTCTTTTGTTCCACCCCTCGTTTTTTCTTGTCCTTCATTCCTGTCCTCAAAATACAATCCTGTGTAACTGTGGATGTCTAATTCTACACTTTTTCAAAAAAATATTCTGTAATTTATCCTGCAGAGCTGTTGCTTTAGTGATAAAAACGTTTCCTCATGCAAAGCTACTGCTAAGGGCAAACTAAATCTCTGTGGAAATGTATGAAACTCTAAATAACAACATCCATTATTTAGACAGTGGAATATTTTCAGTGCCTTTGCTTTCTTTCTTGCTCCTTACATTCCTCCTCTCCTCCTTCCTCCTCCCCCTCTTTCTAGAACACCCAGGTGACGGGGACCCACTGTGGGTTTTTGGACACCGTTTCCAGGGCGGCTTTGACCGTGCGGTAGGTCTCATCCAGGTTGTCATTAATGATGCTGAGATCAAAGAAGTGATCGTACGCTGCCTGGATTTTAGCACTCTCGTCACACGTCTTCTGCAGTTCTTCATCCTGAGGCCGGGGAAAAAAACAGGAATTTCCTTTTCTTATAGGACTCGCTGAACTCTTTCTACTGTCTTAGCTGCTTTCTGAGCATGTTTTCACTGAAGTTTATGAGCTAAGATGAGGGTTTTCTTACCGTCAGTGTTTTAGTTACAACCGCTGCGTCTACAGCAGACTGGTTCATTGCCTTCAGCACCTCGAAGTCTGGAGACTGGAGGAACACCACGTAGGGTAAGAACTCAGAGGTCCTCAGCACTTTGAGAGACTAGAATGCAAGAACACACCAAGCTATTTAATCGCTCTGAGGTTTTTTTGAGAACAGCTCGGTTTCACCCTACTGACTGGTTAGAGTTCTCTGAGAAGTGACGTGAATGACTCACTTTGTGTTACAATGTCATCTGATATAAGATGCCCTCGAGAAAGACACATGATGCTGAAGTCACTGAATGGAGCTTCACAGTGGCTGCAAGGGGCAGCTCCACAATGAACTAACTCACTGTAAATATTAAAATATCAAACCAGTATGATGTCATGCAAGCCCTGACATTTATATTCGTCTCTAAATAAGGTCAAAACCTTTGTTTTGATAGATCCTCCTACAAGGTGCGTTAACAGACCCTCACTCCATCGTGTGGCTAAGCCAGCTAGCTTAGCCAGCTAGCTTAGCCACTTCCAGTGGACTTTTAGGCTTAAAACACGGTGTAAATGACACAGTTTCCAGTTGAATATGAATGTCAGCGCTTACCACACCACACAAGCAGCATGTTATGTTTTTTCAGTTTTTTTATCAGGCCTTAAGAAGGTATCACCATTGATTTCAATTGATTTACATTCTGTAATCTTTGACCATCCAAATCTAATCAGTGAGTCCTCTTTTGAGGGGATTGTCTAAAGACATTTTAAGATAAAGAATTCAGGCATAAAAGGGTTTTGTGAGGTCACAGTGACCTTGATCTTAAACCACCAGATGTAATAAAAATTCCCTAAGTTTGCAAATAGCAGGATCATGCGGTCGCCATGACCTTAACATTTGATCATTAATATTTTTTTATATGATTCCAAACTGGACCAACTTAACATCTTGTAACACCCACCAATGTATTAACAGCCCACAAACGTAATAAACCACAAAAGTAATCTGTCGCTTTTAATTTAATCATCCCAGAAACCTAATACATTTTCCATAAAAGTAATAGCAGTTGCCTTCTACAAACATAATATGTCATTTCCTTAAAAAATGGGTTTGAGTCAGCTCATTAGAAAATATCAAGGGTTTTGGGCAGAGCAGGTCAAAATGTGTCAAAGCAGCGAGTACGTTATAAAAACCTTGCGTGCCAGTTCGTCTATTCATTAACAAGTCCACCTTCTTCTACTTCTCTTCCAGGTTTATCATTCCTTGTCAGTTCACAGGATTGTTTTGTGGCACATTAATCTATTTCGTAATAGCCATCACATTTGCAGGAAATGATGCATTACATTTGTAGTAGACAACTGCTATTACGTCTGTAAATGTATTACATTTGTAGGATTATTACATTAAAATCTACAGATTTGTATTCAGTTGTGGTTTATTACATTGGTGGGTGTTACACACCTTAATTTTAACAACTGAAGGCTGCCGCAGGTTCTCTATCATGTTTGGAAGGGAAGGGTGAGGTGAAGGGTATTCAGCTGCAACATGCGACTTCACCACTAGATGTCCCTACATTCTACACACTGAACCTCAAGACAATCCATCTACATCTTATTAGGATCGATCCAAATTTGTATAAATCAGATTGAACAGCTTTGACTTGACTTGATAATATAACTGAATGTGTAATATCACCTGAGGGTTGGCATCCAGAATGCAGATGCGTCCTGCCTCCACCACCTCATGTATGGAGTCGATCTTGATTCCATAGAGGCTGCCGTCATACTCCCCGTGTTCAAGGTAGCGCCCGTTCTTGATATCAGTGTCCATTTTGCTGCGGCTGGTGAAGGCATACATCCGACTTTCCCGCTCCCCTTTTTGGGGCTTTCTGGAGGTATCTGGACAGACACAAACCAAGACATGTATGCAAACACATGCATTATCCTTTTGCTTCTTCTTTAAATGATTTGCACTTATTGTCCTAATTATTCAATGTTACACATTGAATATGTATTAGCTCGTTACAGCTTTCAAACTATTTAGTCCCAAAATTCTGCTTTTGAAATAGTTTGACACAAAGTTTTGAAATACTGAAGATTTTTCAGGGAAATTCCCTCTGGTATGAGGTCATGGTGTATTTTCCCAGTTACTACAGACTGTGTGACCAAGAAAAAAAAAAAAGTAAATCAGAGAGTACAGCAGCACAGCTCTGTTCATGCTTTTTATTAGAGTTATCTCAGCTACATACAGGGAAAGAACATTTCTTAAATGAGATGACATACATGGGATGGTGGTACCAAAGAGCTGCGGATCTTTCAGTAGAAGCATGTTCTTCAGTCTCCGCCTCCCCACACCCTGGGCACCGATCACAATCAGAGTTTTCCTCTTGAAAGGTGGGACCTTGGCTACCTCCTCATACAGCAATATCTCATGTCTGTCAAATTCTGAGAGGAAGAAAGAGAAGAACACAGGTACAAGGACAGGGAAATGTTTTAGTTTGAAAAAAAGTGGGGGGGAGTGGCTTTAAGAAAAATCATGGAACTTCAGTTCTGGGTACTGCAGATGTAAATTTACGGGGCGGGTCTGTTACCTGCATTTTTGGTGGTCACGTACATCATTTTCTTCTTCTTCTTCCCTCCAACACCAGTACAAAGATTTCCTGTCACATAAAAGCAGCTTCACATCAGTTGTTGTAGAGAACTAAAGTTATGCTAGCACTAGCTGATCAGGGCCATCAGCTTCTTCATTCATAAACAATTACTTGATCTTCATTTAACTTTATAAATTATTATTGTATGTTACATTAATAATCACATTCATTATTTGATTCTTAACTGGGACAGTGTGTGCACACATGCACAATAACTTAACGCATGGACAGATTTTCACCAAACTAGAGTGATATTTCTTGGTTTATCCACATTTTAAAAAAAACTTTAATTTTTTCTTTACATCCCCACCCTTGTCAGCTGATCTGTTGGATGTTGGTGTGTAGGACGACACCCCTGCAGTAGAGAACTGTATTCTTGTTGCCCGAATGTGCACAGTGGAAGCCGAAGGAGATGGCAGAATTGGCAGTTTATCAATGGGGATGATTTTTTGGTCAATTTGGTTTAAAGAGGATGACATCCCCCGCCAACCCCCAAATAGCCTACTGGATATAGGCCTAAAGTTTTCCCAGCAGAATCCTGACTGCTGATCATTGTTTTAGGTGCTCCCTTTAGAGAGCGGAGCCGTTCATTGTTATTTTCTCAAAAAAAGTTAATCTGGCAATTTTCAGACATGTCCTCCAGAAAATGGGGTCCGGACTTTCTCCGCAGTTTGCCTTTCACACACGCACAACCCAGCGGGAGATTCTCAGCACAGACGCATACACAACAGCAGAGAATACCTCTGCAGGATTCAGCCAAGGGGGGCAGAGGCAGAGGCAGCACATCAAATATTAATTCGTATCACCACAAAGATAACTCTTATCACCACTTTATACGAGGGAGGCCAGGCTGAGAGAGTCTAGAGAAATTCCAGAGGCTATAACTCGGCCATTTGCGTTCACATATACACATTCTCTGTAGAAACTCTAGAGGATCTCGACAGTTCAGTGCATGTCTGAAATCAGATTCTGACTGCGTTGTGGTCGAGCTCAACAACACCCCACCTCTAACTCCAGACCTCAGCTCTTAACCACTGACCACCTCTGCAAGTTTGCAAGACACTCTGAAAGAGAGAAGATGAGATCGTCCCACACATTCCTGTGTCTCACTGTGACTGGTCTGAGTCTGCCTTTAATTTCTCTTTTCTTTGACTTATACTCCCATAAGGTTATACTCAAATTATTACTCACATTTGATCCTTGATCACTTGATTACTCTCATCTGATAAATACATTTATTCCCTGCCAATGGACTTACTCAGTTTTTGACCATGCCTGATGATTCGAACAATGCTTTTTGGTGATTTTGGTAAAAGAGTTATTGCTTTGATTTTTTAAAAATCTGCCAGTGATTGTGTACTTTATTTAGATTATTCCTGATTTATAATTTCTCAGTAATTTTATTTCTGCATGAGGTTATTGATAAACCCTGATTTGAAATTGAACTAATTTATGGATTATTGCAATCATTCATTTCAGTTCATTCTCAGTGGTTAGCTTTCATCCACAGCCCACTATCATCTTGATATTCCGTCTTGAACATTTCTTGTTCCATCTGAAAGTTCTTAAAACATCAGACTTTTTGTTTTGCAGTACATGAACAGAGCAGGATTACGTGGGTGATTTTGAAATTAAAAAATATCCATTAGCCTTAGGATAATAATTACATTTCTATTTCAAATTGACATGGCCTTTGCAGACCTGTTCATCATCAGATGTCAAACAGCAAGGAGACTTACAAGAAAGCTCAATAACTACTTTCTTTTCCATGTTTTCCTAATTTATTGCTTGCTGTTACCTGCTGGTGCCAGTTCCACATCTCTCTTGACGAATGCTTTCCTTTTCTCCTCGAGCATCTGACTGGGAATCAGCCCTGTGCTACCCCCCTCCACATGACGGGCCTGTGCAACACATGCACACACAAAGTGATTGATATATTTGTAATAAAAACAAACTTGTGGTGTCATTGAATTTCAATCTGATAGGTATAATCAGCCATGCAACACAAAATAAAGTGTTATGTACACATGCTGTTTCTGTACTTTACCTGCCACCAGTTGACATCATCCTGATTGACTATCTGCAGGATGTCCCCTGTCTCAAACCTTAGGCCCGCCTCCTTACATGGAATTAAGTTGTCATTGGCCGGGTCATAGTCATAGTGACATTTAAAGAACACCTGGGGAAACACAGTTGGAGTCTCAACCTAATGTCTTGTGCCAGTGATGCACCTGACATTATGATCATGTTAGTGTTTGTAAATGTCACCTGTCTTGGAGGTATGGCTTCATGGTAGCTGGGCAGTATCTTCAGAACCACACTTCCGCTGGCTGCTTGCAGTTCCTCCTGGATCACCCTGGGATCTTGACCCACCTCTCTTCCATTCAACTGCCAGCGAGAAGATTTTTCATTAATTACATTTTGCAGTGCCTTTAATGCAACATTATATTTTACCGAGGAGTTTACAAATTAGAAGAAGAAGAAATAAGAAATCCAGAGGATCAGAGACAGAGCCATGAGGTACTCTATTTTGAAGCAGACTTTTGAGCTATGAGGTCTGATCTCAAATTATGTACCATATAAGGGTCAAGATAAGGTTTACTGAAAAGAGCTCTGCAAGTGCAAGTAGACAATAAACTGTTAATGACCGACAGGATAATTGCAGCATCATCTGAGAGTTGGAGATAGATCACAACACACTTGTTGAAGTTCTTGCCAAAAGTTAGATGTCTATATGTGAAATACTAAGCTAGAGCCATAAGGAAGTTAGCTCAGCATAAAGACTGAAAACATGGGGTCTGCCTACAATGGCCAACCTTACCTCTTTGATGATATCTCCAACATGCAGCAGTCCTTGCTGATCTATCATACCACCATGAAGGATGCGGGCTATCACCAGCTCACCAGCCTCCACCTTGAATGTCACCCCCTGAAACACAATTTATGTGTCTGTGATTAATTGTTGTGTTTCTGTGGTTAAAAAGAATAAAAACCAGCATCTACAGTTGTAACTAACAACAAACATATATATATATATATATCTTGGAGACGGGGCAACTAAACATGGGATGAACTCAGCTGTGTCAGCTGTGTTTACTCTGTAATATTACCTACCAGATGCTCCCCTGCCACTTTGCGTATGCCCACCATGCGGATTGCATCAGGTGGTGGGTGCTGGCTGTGAGTGTGGCCATCCTCTGGTTCATGATCCACTACATCACAGGGGCTAGGGGGTGGGCTATCACATGTCTGGGATGCCACTGAGTCATGAGTCTCCAGTAAAGACTGACAAAAAAAATCACAGACAAAAAATATTAGTACAATTACAACTTTGAGTTCACCAAAACTGTGTCTTTGCACGAGACTGTTTACTTTCCACAAAGTATCCCCAGAAGAGTCTTCCTCGTGTGTGGCACATCAGTACTACACCCACTTGCTCCTTCTACCGGTTGTACTCGCCATCAACCAAACAAAATAAGCAGCCCCCAAAAACATTACATTATATCTCAGCTAAAATATGAACAGATATATGGAAACTAAACAAACGTGCAAATAAACCCAAAAACATCTCCTCTAATCTAACCCCTACAGCCTACTCCTATGCTCAGAAAGCTCAGCCATCTGGCAGAGGTGGGGGAGTGGCAGTCATATACAAGGACTGTTTTTCCTACAAGCCCGTCTCCTGTGGGGGAATTTGTCTCATTTGAAAGCCTAACATTCTGTGTTAACAAGCATCTTCCTCTCAGTCTACAGGCATCCCAAACCCAATTGTCTCTCTGAATCATCAGATTTGCTCTCTTCTGCCTACTTATGACCACATCTGCATTATTAGTGATTTTAATATTCACATGTGTTGTGCAAATTATACTGTGGCAGAGGAATTTCTTTACCTCTTAGAATCTCTCTGTTTTGTTCTACACCCCACTGGGCCATACTCTCGATGTTGTTATACCATATGGCCTGTAGATTGATAGTATGGAACTTATTATTGCCCACAACAGCTGGCACATTTTCATATGCATTCTCATTCCTCTCTTCAGCCCTGCCCCACATCTGTTGAACTCATTTAATGACCTCTGCCTGCAAGTTTGATTCGGTTGCCTGAATCAGAACCAGAATCAGATAAGTCTCAAATGTGCCTGCATGGTTTAATGACACCACCTGCTCTGTAAACAGGGAGGTTTGTAAAGTGGACCGCAAATGGAATGCAAGCAAACTTGATGTTCACCATGAGCACATGAAGGATTCGTGAAAAAATATAACGCTGCAGTCCCAGGCAAACTACTTTTCCACCTTGATTTATCAGAATGCCCAAAAGAGCTCTTTAAAATTCTTGATTGGATTGTGGGAGCCCCGACTAACATTCATTTGCATGTATCAACTGACATCTGTGAAAAAATTTAAATATGCTTCACGAATTTAAAAAAAAAATCTGATCAATGACTGACAGCAGCCAAATCCATAGCCTACCTGCCCCTGATGCTAGACTAGTTTTTATGTGCTATCCCATAGCTCTTTAACCAGTGACTCTCCCTGAGCTCAATGATATGGTTAAGCCCATGAAGCCATCTACTTGCTCCTTGGATGTGGTTCCCACCAGACTACTGAGGAAGTCTACTCTTGCTTCTTTCATTCTAGCAATTATAAATAGCTCCTTGACTTCTGGTGTCATCCATTCTAATTTCAAAACTGCCCTATTTGAACAACTCCTCAAAAAATACAACGTACATCCCTCCACTCTCAATAATTACAGACCTATCTCAAATCCTTGTTCTTTTGGATCTAAGCACTGCTTTCGATACAGTTGACCACTACATACTCATGCGTGCGATATGGTGTCCTGCAGGGTTCAATCCTAGGTCCCATTTTTTTTATTCATCTATATGCTCCTGCTTGGCAATATCATGTGCAAACATAATGTTCGCTTTCACTGCTACGCTGATGAGACACAGCTCTACATTCAAATCAGTCTTAATGACCAATCAAACACTGCAGCTTTCCACAAGTGCATCGCTGGAATAAAACACTGGATGGCAAACAACATTCTCTAACTAAACCTCTCCAAATCCACTTGTCAAGACAAACCTTGGTGAACTAGCACCATTTACCGAGTCCGCATTTAGAAATTTGGGTGTGTTCTTTGACCAAAACCTGAGTTCCGAACCCCACATTATCATTTAAGAAACATAGCCAAGGTTAAATCTTTTATCTCACATACAGACCTGGAAAAAATCATTCAGTGTAACTCTTTTAACACAATCAAAACATTTTTACCATATGTTTTAGCATCATGGCACTGCCTTCGTATTTTAGGATTTATTTTAAACTTCTTTTAATTAGTTTTAAAGCTTACTGACTCCCTATTGAGATCTGAGATTGTCTGGTAGGGTGTTGCTAGTCATTCTAAAATCTAGGCTGAAAACCAAAGGAGATAGAGCCTTTGCCGTGAGGGCCCATACACTTTGGAACAATCTGCCAGAAGGGATTAGACTGGCAGAATCTGTTACCTGTTTTATCTCTCTTCTTAAGACTCAAGCTTTCATCGCATCATGATTATTATAAAATCCCCCCTTCATTGTCAGTTCCAGAGACACTACCATGATGAAGTCAAGGTTTCATAGAGCACATTAGAGATAATTTGACATCGCACTACGTTTGACACTGTTGTAATACATTGTGGCGACTCGTATTGGTTTGTTTCTTCCACACCTGGAAATGAGGCTGTGTGAGTATGTGGGAAAGCTCAGCTGCAGTGTCCGAACGGTGCGTGAAGGGGTCCAGATCTCTGAGGATCTCCAGCAGGAGCTCCACGTTGTTCTCCCTCACCGGCGAGAGGTGTGGCTCCCTCAGGCTCTCCTCGTGCTCCTAACACACACACACACACATATATATTCACAGTATAAAACATGGATACACACAGACAAATTATGATAGAGATGTGTCTTTATATGCCAACAGTAGCTATGGGGCTGCCAAACTTCACGGTGAAAGAAGCCTGCCTACATTCACACAGGACGTACACACAAAGCTTTGTGTTTTTCGTATTTGTCTGTGTGTGTGTGCATATGCCACACCTGAGGGCTCTCCATGATTCCTTTGAGGTAGATGAGGTCCAGGTCATTGGCCGTGGTCGAGCTGGTTGTGCTGTCACTCATCACGTCCAACACCTGGGGCACTGAAACAAACAAACACAGACGCATACATGGAGAGAGAGAAGGGGGTCAGGGGGGCATTAATAGGAAACAAGGAGCAATAAATGAAACACAGAAAATGACAGAGCCATTTTGGCCATGGCTACAGGGCGGAGGTAAAAAGCTTTTCCATGCCCTGCAGATACAGGTAGGGTGGAAGATATCAATAGTAAATGACTCTATTGCGAACATTGAGAATGAGTTGTCAGATTTTTTATTCAGATTTAAGATTTGCTTCGGCATTTTGCTTCTCTTGCTCTCTCCTGTGGCTCCCTCCCTCCCACAGACACAAGAATCACATTCCTCCTGGGTGGAGCCAAAGAAGTGAAGTGCCAAAATTAGTTCACTATTGTTTACGTTCAATGATAAAAGATGGATGTGGACGAATTGGTTTCAAAAAGAAACATTCCTGAATCCATGGTGATGCAGAGGTTTGTCTATCAGGAGGAACATTTTGAACAAACAATGGTTACCTGCAAAAGGCAAGAACAACAACAAACGCAGCAGCACAAATTTGTTTCACCATTTGAAATGCCACCCACTACTGATCGAAGGATGCCTGAATCTCTGCATGTCCACATCTCCCACTAGTCCTGCAACACGTCTCCATTAACATATTATTGTTAAAAGTCATTAGTGCCCTACCCAACTCTCATTGTCATTTTTAGAGGAAAACATAAATTAACAATACATAGAGGAAAGTCATGTGGGGATAGGAGCTAATGAGGAGGTCTAGTCTCACCAGGCTCTGTCCTGGTGGAGGCCACAGGCATGGTTGAGCCTCAGTCAATCTGAGAGAGAAAGAGAGAGAAAGAAAGAGAGAGAGAGAGACAATGAGGGAAAGGGGAAAATTAAGTAAATGATGAGGGGCGAAAATAGTCCATCTTGTAAAATGCGTCCCAAAAACAGAAGGAAATGAAGTTTTTTATTTCCAGCAGCAGAGAAATACTTAAATAGTTCATCTTATTGTTATTGCTCAGTTAAAAAGATACAAAAAGGTACACGGGACAGCAACAAGAGAAGGGCAGACGTCCACAAATTGTTCTGGAATTGAGCATCCGTACCAAAAGTGGAGGAGACATTTGGGGGAAATATAGAAAAATAAATAATGCAAGAGAAAGAGGGAGGGCATGTGGGGTAACTAATCTACATATCACCATGACAAAAGACACAATACAATGGAGAGAGAGAGAGAGAACAAAGACTCACAACCCTTTAACTATAAAATCTTCTGCAGCTTTAACTGTCTTAGTGTTACACTGTAGCACTTCAACTCATGGCTACCATGGAAACCTTCTCTCCTTCAGTTTCAGACACACACACACACACACACACATTTCTGTTAATGCTGGGGAAGGCATTACACAACACATCGTGCAAGAGCGGGAAAAAGTGGAAAAGATGACGTAGAGAGAGAAGCTGTAAGGACTTACTCATACTCAGTACTTGAGTATTATGTACAGCATAATTCTGTCAATGTTTACATCATGTTGTTCTCCATTATATTATTAAATATTTAAGATTACAACATAAAATGTATTTTAATATTGTAGGAGGTGAAACATTAACTGCTACACTTCTACATGTAAAAAAAAAAAGAAAAAATAGATTTCACGACTTGAATAATCTCAGTTGACTGTGGAGTCTCTGACATGATTTGATGATTTTTAAAAGCCTGAGCCCATCATATAAATGTATTGGAGAAAAGGTTGAAAAAGCTCCTCTGAGACATAAAGTATGGCCAAATGTTTTTTTACTATGTTGCATTGGTCACAGCTAACAGGGGCTAAATGAATACATCGTTTTCTGTTGAGAGAAAGTAGGATAAAAAGCTTGCTCAGCTGCTGTTCACCTGAATTATATACACATGCTATTTTTTATAGCATTGTAATTTGTATCTTTATATTTTTATTATATTATTATTATTGCTGTTGGCTAGCAGAGAGCTACCAAACACAATTTCGTTGCACTTGTACAATGACAATAAAACCTCTTGAATCTTGAATCAGACACACACACACATTTAATTACTGATATCACCCTGATGTGCTCCATTTGCTAGACTTCCTCCTTACATTCTCTCCTTCCATCCTCCTCGTGTCTCCTTATACATTTTACTTCTTTGCACTTCTCTCTTTCTCCCACGCTGCCCCATCCTCTCTCTCCCTTTATGCTCTTCCTTGCTCACAGCCCCCACCCTAACCCCCAACGTTCCCCTCCTCTCCTTCTGTTGACATCCTCCCCTCCCTCACGCCTTTATCCCACACGCCCAGCCACTGCTTAAGGCCCCACCTCCCTACGTCTCCCACCGTCATCCATCTGCTCAGCTGCACCAGTATGTAAAGACAGAGACCCAGGTGTATGTATACACACACACACCGTTGTACTTCTATCTTAGTGAGGACACTCATTGACGTAATACATTCCCTAGCCCCTTACTCTAACCATAACCATCCAAACTAAATACCCAAACTAATTCTAACCCTCAAACCAAGTCTTAACCCTCAAACAGCCCATTAACAAAGTGACTCGGTAGGGTCTATGCTTCAAAGTGTCCTCTCTAAAGATAGAAGCACAGGAACACACACTCACAATGTTCATGCAACATAACAAGGTCTTTTTTTGTTGTTGTGATGATTTATGAATAAAGCTTTCTGGTGTTGAAGGAGCAATGCGGTTCTTTTTATTTTGAAATTGCTTCAATGTGATAAATAGAATGTATATGATGAATGATCCAGTAAATACAGGGACCTCAACACCATCTTTGTGTCCACTGGTCTGCAGAGTTTGTGTGTTTGCTTGTGTGAAGGATGTGTGTTGAACAGTAGGTGCTCCATGTGCTCCTTTCTTCATTGAACATTATTTCCTTTTCACTTTGGTATCATTAGCTACCCAGACTGTATCTCTGTCTCTCACACATGCACACAGGGGTTAGTCTCATGAGTCCCATGTAACAAAGCATGATGAACACACACACACACACACACATACACACACACACACACACACACACAGAGAGAGAGAGAGAGAGAGAGAGAGAGAGAGAGAGAGAGAGAGAGAAGATGGTAAGTGATCAACACAATTTGTGTGAATCATAAACACAGTAACACTGTTTTTTAAATGGACCCCGCACGCGTTCACGAGCACGCGCCTTTGTCAGCCCAGTGGGGCTCTCACAATAAACACTGAGTGTGAAGAAGAGAGAGAAGATGCTGAGCAGTAACTGTGAGACACGTGGACTGTTGATGAGAGCCGCCATGTCGATGTGGAATAAACAGTGGTCCACTCACCTTTCGACACAATAACACGAGCTCCTCACGGTCTCTGCTCCTCTGGCTCTTGTTGTTGTTGTCTGCTCCTCGGAAGCGTCATCGGCAGCCACAGCGTCAAGTGACGAGGAGGAACACACAAGACTTCCGGGAAGTGTTCAAAAATAAAACCCTAATGGCAGCTACATTGATTTCCACTGCTCAGCTATTATTGTTGCGTGGATGTAAAATATGTTTATAGAATAATGTAAATCTGCAGTATATGTATGTGATACAATACAGGCCTTATTTAGGAAGTAAAAGAAAATGATTATTTAAATTTGAAGGCAAATTTATTCTATTTCCGGTTTAATTCCCGGGATTTTGACAAGTGCCAATGCGGTACATTATCTGCCCCAGCAATATTATAATACATTATACTATATTATATTATTATACTATAGGCTATTACATTATTATACATTATTATATTATATTATATTATATTATGTCTTTTGAGTTTTGTCAAGAATAAAAAATAATTTGGAGTGCAATAATGAGGTTAACAGGGATAGGTTTAGGCTTTATACTATTTAATTATTTTCATAAATGTGGACGTTAACCAGACAAGGAAGGTTTATATAGGAATTGGGGGATCTAACTTTTTTGAACTTGGCTACCCATCTATCTATCTATCTATCTATCTATCTATCTATCTATCTGAGTAACAATAGGTAAAACAATTATTGTCACATTGGTGACAACATTTTTACAACCACATTTTTATCAGCACTAAAATCTGACATTCTTAATCCACTGCTGGACACATCCCCCCAGAATGCATTATTGCCTCTTGTTCCTATTTGTTAAACACTCCTGAGGCCATGTGTTTTATGGGAGACATTTTAAGCATTTAAAATCCTGTAATAAATGTTAATAGTGGGAATGAAGGACAACCTTGAAACTTAATGCCTCTGGCTATCACCAGTCCGACGGCATAACATGATCTGTGGTAGTGAGCAGCTGATATTCATGTATGTTATAACTTTAGTGTTCATTATTCAGAGTGATTATTAGAATAGAATATTAATAAACTCTAAACACTGACATCATATATCATATGACCCCCCCCCCCCCAAAAAAAGAGAGAAATCTTTATGATTTAATCACACAGAAAAGTTTTTATTAATTTATTCTGATGTTACTTTTTACAGGAGCAACAATAAAACAAGAATTTTCTCCTCTAAACAGTTACTGGACAGTAGGGGGCGTTAATGCTCACACGCACACAGACACAGTTCCACCTTGTGATTAGTAGCACAATCTCACATATATATTTTTATTTCAATAATACATTATGTATAAACATGTTGCAATGAGTGAGATGTGACACAGTGACAAGAGAAACAGAGACAGCTTGTATTGTGGTCGGTGATGGTCAAGGACTCAGCGGTGAGGGGTCAGAGGCACGCTTCGGCCCCTCCAGGTGCAGTGTGGGACACACACTCAGAGGGAATGCCAGATGAGGAGGGTGGGGGCAGGGGGAGTCACCACATGTAGGAATCATCATATCTGTGAAAAGTCATAAAAAGGAGGAAGGACATGTGACTGCTTCTATAAGATAACTTTCGGACATTCTGCTGCTGACATTGTTGTGTCACAGCAGCACTTCAAGGACAAGAGTAAGAACACAAAGAGACAAGGTGCAAACATGATTAAATAATAAATATGACTATATGTAATAAAATGAGTATGAATATAATATGAGCACAAAATGATGATGTCTGTCACCTCTATAATGAAAAACATGTCTTGGTATCAAAGAGATGAATTGATTTAATAAAGAATATGTTTATTGCAGCTCACATTGCTGCTTCAGCTTGTGTGTGGGGTCTTTACCTTGATCTCTGGTCTCTGTTACTGTCGGCACCAAACAGGAGCTCTGCAACCATATCCTCCTGAGCCGAGCGCTTTCCATACCTGGGAGACAGGTAAAAGGATTTTTTTTAAATACATCAAACACTGAAAAGTCAAACTGAATGATTTTCATGAAATCCCACCTGATTTTATATTATTTATGGCTAATAATTACAAACTAATAAATACATATGAATATAACATAATAACTTTTCATTACTTTTATTGTTAGAGGTTGAGTCCGCCAATTGGATTCAGATTCCAATGTTAACTCTCCCACACACATAGCAGAGGTGCACTAACTTTTACTGCTAATGCTAACCTATAGTGCAACATGTGGTGGCCAGAGACTGGATATAGTGATGGGGAAGGGAGAGACAGTTCCCCAAAAGTGAAGCCAAATCATCCTGATTGCCCCCTGGTGGCCGTTTGCAGTATAGATCATAAACTGACCCTCCTCCATGTTGGCAGATGGGACATGGACCAAACCAAAAAATGAGAATACAAATATATTCTGTCATTTTAGGTAGTTCTTATAACATTGATGCTTTATCCAGTGTTCATATTTCAAGCAAGTTTGGTTTATGCTACAAATATGGCGTGAAACCTCATGATTGACAGTTGAGACGCAAAATTAATACAGCCTATAATGGACCTTTACATGTAAAATCAGAGTGTCTTATTACAGGACTCTCTGATTGAGGCCGATGATGTTTAATTTGTTTAATTCTTGATACTGTTTCCTCCACTGGTCCCCTTCAAAATCTAAAGTTTTAGTGTTCATATTGACTGAAAGAAGCACAGAGGTACAGTCTGAGACTGCTCGTCTTTCTTTCTGTCCATTGCTTCACTGTCCTCTTGCCTCTGTCTGCCTGCCGTGCCTGTAAATTGCTTCACTTGTTGCCTCCCTTCGCTCCTAATGCTTTGATTTCACAGTCAGACTCAAGTCTAATGCATGTGTGAGCAAGTGTCATTACCAAGTCTACATGAGTCTTTATTGTTTTTCTCTTAATAGGGAAACTAGGGGCTCCAAGAGAGTAAAACATGTAAAATCACAGAACCATTCAACAGAAAGTTTACTTGGTTGTATGTGTGTGTACGTGTTCATGAAACCATAATACTCCACACAGCCCTGCAGCTCCTCAGGTTTCCCATCATCCACCTGTTCCACTTCCCCTTACGACCCCAGCACCCAATCTTATGCTTTGTTACACACACAGGAAGATGTTTGTTTGTGTGTTTGTGTGTTTGTGTGTGTGTGTGTGTGTGTGTGTGTGTGTGTGAGTGTGTTTTGCTCTGTGGGAAAGCAATCAAGTAGCTCACACGCTCTGTCTCATGCAGCTGTCACACAGTGCAACACATCAGGATGTAAAATGTCTCCTCTTCCCATAATGGCCCGTCTGCACCCACATTTCACCCTGGTGGGTCCTGCTCTCATTCTCTCTACGCCTCACTGTTTTCTCTCCATTGAGGTATATCTTCTCTGTCGGTCCACATCTTTTCCTGTCTGCTTGTCCTTCATCCTTGCTCGATTTCTTTCTCAAATGCAGAAGTCTTCCTTGTTTTTAAAAAGCCCAGGTTGTGCCTCTCCTCTATTCCCTTTTTCATTGGAATCTACGCAGGGGAGCATTTGCTCGTCTGAAGGTCATTTAATAACATGCAGTCGCATTGTAAAACATAGACAAAATAATGCTGTCATGTTTTTGAATGAAAATTTAAAAAAAAATGAAAAGCAACATCAATATAAAGTTTCTTTTTTCCTCTGCCAGTTTGTCAGTTAGTTTGTTAGTTAGCAGGATCACACTCAAACTACTTGATGGAGCACCACAAAACCTGGTAGAAGGATGTGCTATGGACCAGGGTAGAATTTTTCAACTTTGGAGGGAATCATGGTGTCATCTTTTACTCTTTCTTGGAAGATATTTGTGTATCGTGACATTTCTGTTGATTTCTCAGAGAATAATTCATGGATCTTGATGAAACAAATCAGGCATGGTTAGGGGACTAATATGAGTGTGTGCAGTTTGGTGCAGATCCAAATAAAAATGTGGATTGAATTAATTTAAATGTCATTTCACAAGGGGACTGTCGGGCCACTCTACTGGGGGCCATTCTAGTTTTTTAACAGAATATTTTTTCATCAAAATGGTTGGAAGCATCAATTCTGGAATGATCAGTAAGTTGCATTTTTGGCACAAATGTAAACGTAAGATTCACAAACTGGGGGCTACAGAAGCTAAACGTCTCTTGTGATGATATTTAACATGTTTTTAATTTTCTGATTTTCTTAAAGCTTATTATTTCTGTAAACGTTCTTCAAAGTTGGAGTTATGCTAACAAGAAATTTCCTCCTAAGATGAGCAACACATAAAAATAATTTGACAAACTATTCTCTGAAATAAAGAGTCACTCAGTTCTCTGTGCCAGATTACATGAATCTCCACCTGAGACTTTAAGTAATTTGAAGCTGAGACAGTAAAAGCAGCTGAGGTCTCTGCAGAAGTTGAAGCATAGAAAGGCTGAAAAATGCAGCTGAAATCAATGGAAATTTAAACTGTTATGAAACTGAAATATTTCAAACGTGAAAGAGGATGTGACCTGAGTGACAGCGACAGCCCTGCATTTTGTGTTTTTGGTAAAGACACCAGTATATCTGTACAGTTACACAATGATATGAGCCACCAGTCGCAATCGACCGAAGGCTCTCACCTGCACAGACCCTTTATCTGCATGAGCAGCATTTTATTCAGCCAACTGTTGTATATTCTCCTTATCACATATGACGTGTCTTCATTTTTAACTCCACAGTGGAACAGAGGAACTTTCAACTTGAAAGAAATTTACATTTGGAGTCCTCTTTAGACCGCACACTTTAATATCAACAACCTATTTGACTTTCATGAATAAAAGCTATTGGTTTATGAGCCAGACTGCACCAAAACAATATGCCACGCTACATTTCCATAAGAAAGATTTTTCTACCTTAGAGCAGCAGGCTCGGCTAAATGAATTTGGGATTCTTTCTTGGATGCATCTGTACCAATTTTATTGCTCTGGTCCTGTTGATTTGGAGGCCTGGAGGTTTTGGAGAGTGGCCAGTAATCTAATCTACAGAGCCGCTGTGGAGTTCTGGTGAAGGGTTAGGGCAGTGTAGAGGGGGGGGGGGGCATCACACGTTGAGCTCCTGGCTAAAGTCAAAGACCTTTAATGACTTGAATAAAGCAAAATCAAATGTGGATTAATGTGGAGGCAAACAGCCAGATGCAAAATAGTTCCAATGCTGCTAGAATCAGCTTGGGGAATGGTTCTTGAGATATGATTCATTTGGCATGCACGCACGCACACACACGCATGCACGAGCGCACACACACAAACACACACACTGACAAAACACAAATTTCTTTATGAGTTCTTTTGCAAAAAATACAGAAATACAAGACTGAACAAAAGCAGTGCATGTGTCACAAACTCCCACATACTCAGTTTATATTGTGAGTGTGTGTGTATTTACTGTACCTCTGCCTTGTGATCAGATTGATGTAGTGTCTCAGGGCGGTGTAGTACTTGGCCAGCTCTTCGGGCGGGGCGTCTTCACCGGGGTTCTCAGGTTTGGGTGGGTAGGCGTCCGCCAGTGTTCCCAGACACACCAGCACACACAGCGCTACAGCCACCAGCACTGTCCACAGCTTCAGCATTGTGGCCATCTGAGACGGGGCAATAAGATGTGGCGAGTTATGAACACTAAAGCTCCCACATTTGACATCAATCAAAAAATGAACAAATCAGGTTGATCACTTTTGTTTTAAAAGAAACCCAAAGTCTTATTTCCATTGTATCATTGGTCACAACGAGAAACAAATGACATCAATGTTGGAAATCAATGTTTCCTCTTTGAAGGTAAAATGTTGGGTGCCTGTCAAACCCCTCCTGAGGGGCCTGACATGGAAAAGCAGTGTGATTTATTTTAGTGGGAAATGTTTGCCCTAAAGACAGACGAGTAAACGGAAGTTTGTGAGGCAGCTAAACAAGTTGAAACACACCATGGAAAGTAAAAGATAACCTTATACTTATTGTCAGGCCCATCAGAGAAAGTGTTATTTATATCCGGGGAAAAGATGGGCTGACTGCAATGAAGGAAACTATTGCTATGAGTCATTATTAATAATATGCTGTTAGCAATACTTGGTATATGGTTTGTGCAGCTGAATGAGGCTGTTATATTTTCTATAACAAAGCTATTATTATCATTATTATTAAATTGACTACTGTCACTAGCTTTACTACTAATTGCAATGATAATGAAGTGGTTCAACGTTTGTTTCCTGTATAAACTGATCAAATCTGTTCACCAGCAGGCTCACAGTGGGTCATTGTTTCCTTGGGTAAAGGTTGCTGAGGAGGTCAGAGAGTAAACAAACATCAAATGTAGCAGGTGAGATATCAGCAGAGTATCCCATAAATCAGTTACATTAAAAATATACAGAACTCAGGCTACAAACAGCACCAGCAGACCAGGATTTCTCCCAGTTTTCCCACTTATCACCAATTAAACCGTTTAAAATAATAT